CTATGAATTAGATTGTGCTGATTGTTTAAGCCATAATTTGTCGTTATTTTAAAAAATTAAATAATTTTAATAAAAAGTTCCTTTTCCTCTGACCAGAGCTACCCGGACAAACTTTTGATATATAGTAATTATCATTATACTCATATTTGTTCTTTTTCTCTCAATTAATATATTTATTTTATAATTGGATTCATTTTAAAAATTAACAGGAGACCTTGTCTTTAGCATAAACCAATTTAATGAATTTTCATAAAATATTCAAAGTTTATTTAACAAAAAGCTTAAGTGTCCGGGGCTACCCCTAAATTTAAAAAAAAAATTCAGTATGTATTGTAGACAATATCCTTCTAAAGATCTTCTCTAAGTTTTATTAGAAAAAATTTTTTTCTATCTAAGTTATTATAAACTCAAAGTTTGTATTGGAATAACTCCACGTTTGGAGCTATTATGGTACAAAATTTGTATTTTGTTCATAAAATAAAGAAAAAAATTTTTTCATCGAATTAAACAGTATGGAAACTTTTAACTACATATTCTGTAAATAATTTTTAAAAAAATTGCAGAAAAATTATTATTAGAGGAATTTAATTATATAATTACTGAATTTTTTTTAGGTTAGGAATGATAATTTAAACAAATTTCAAATTAACAAATTTTAGATTAATTAAATAACTTAATAAGGTCCATTATTGTTTTTTAAGATATTTTAAATCAAACAAGATTTTAAATAAACTTGAAAACCATGTAAAATTATAATAATGTTACTTTTTGAGGTTATGTTGTACCCTTTGTGCCTTTGTAAAATTATAATTGACTTATTTTCAATTTTCTGATACAAAAATAAGTCATTTGTGTATAAAATCGAAGTACATGAGTTCTTTTTTACTTAATAGGAAATGAATTTTCGTATAATAATTATTTTGAATGTTGTACCGGTTATACCAAAATAAATGCTGGATTTTCAGTTTTAGATACTTTTCTCCTAAAATACTTAATAAAAAGTTAGCCCATCGAGTATACATATATATGTTGTTGTCAAAACTAAATTTTTGAACATCCTAAATATTTTTGACACTAACTTTCGTGGAATTTATTATTGGTATAGATTTTCACACAACTTCTCAATTTCCAACAAGATTTGTTCGTGTCTCTATAAATTTTTTTCTGATTTCTAAAACCGAATTTACTAATAACATTACAGTTACTTTGTTGCCAAAATTTCACACTAAAATTACAACTAGGTGTCAAATTTAATATTTCACCCTGGTGTACCATAATAACGAAGAATACATCTCGATGCGGTTTCATGCATTGTTGAACGCATCAGATATCTCAGATGTATGAATGGTTTCATATCAACAGGGGAAACGGTTATATTTTTATTTTGTTTAAAATATTAGGTTTTAATATCGACCCTGGTGGAATGAAGCATTGATTACATGCATTGATTTATCCAATAGTTTTGATAAACTATAATTTGTAATTAATAAATTATTAATGAGTAAAGTGTAAAAGTGCTTATCTGTCAGTTTTCATAGTGTGTGATGTTTCATTAGTTTTAATAGTAATATACATTGAAAATGGTGAAAAATGATAAGATATATTTATAATTAAATATTTTAATTTAAATGTGATAAATTAAATTAAGTTAAATGTGGTAAATTAAATTAAATTAAATTAAATTAAATGTGATATTATCGATATAATATGCAAGCCAAGTGCTAAATACAACAGATGGCAACACTTAACATTACCTTTTTGAATATTTTATCATTTTTTTTTAATTTACCAATTCTTGAATAGTTTCAAAGGAGAAAAATGGAAACTCCTGAAATAGTAAAAATTATGCTGGAAATAGTAAATTTTACTATTTCTAGAGTAAAAATTGACAGAAATGCGCAGAAACTGCGGAGAGTTCCGGTTTACGATTCAATTATATTTTTAATATACCTGTATTAGGTATAATAAAATGAATAATTTAAATAAAATTTTAATTTTAATTAATATTTTGGAAATACTTACAGCGTTTCTTGTATCATCATTAGCGGTACAAGTATTGCGTTTAATCAACTCATCTATATATATATATATAGGTCGCGTGATGGGAATCCCCTTTTCCTCTCGCGTTTGGCTGTTTATGAGGAATTCCCTCTTTAAAAAATACTTATTTATTATTACATATTATTATTTTTATTATTTATTACTATTTATATACGCGGAAAAAAATATTGGTTCACCGTCTGCATAAAACTGAATAGATATATTAAAGCAAATTCAGTTGATTTTGAAAAATTCGTTAAAATCTGTCTCCAGATGCGTAATCATCAATCTCATAAACCCTCGATTAACAAGTTTCAAGTAAATATCTCTATGGTAATCGAGATGGTAATAATAATCAAATTTTTTAGTGTAGACACCCAATTAATATATACGTTTTAACGCTCGACATCCATATATTTGGATGATCCCAGACTCGCATATCGTGTATATTCGGGCGTACCGCGTTCGTCACGTGAATTTATCAAAATTTTTAATCCTCATCGTGTATATATGTGCAGTGCCCAGCACATAATTTTGTGGATGCATCGCCGAGTGCATCACTCGACCGTAACAGCTATTTCTCTCCCATTTTGTTGGCAAATGCAACCAGAAAAATTTATCGCCCTGTAGGCATTTCGCAGCTGAAGTAGCTCGTAATTCGACAGCGTTGTGAATTTTCCGCTTGCAATGGCGGAACGATTATACGCGAATGGCAAGCAAATGTATCGTATATATATATATACAAGCCAAAATGTATTTCTTTTCTACTTATAACATCTACTCGAATTCGCATCATTGGCTACATTTATTAACTCTAAACCGATGAATTCATATATATAAATATCAAAAATATACACACATCTACAATGGACTATCGAAAAAATATATTGTATTTTCATCGCTGATATTAACACATTTATGCATTATACATTCTAAAAAATACCATTTGTAAAAACAAATAAGAGATTTGTGCATAAAGTACTTTAGAAATCATCGTTTTGAGAATCATTTAAACTAAATTTATATACAGTATAGTACAAAAAAATTTCATGTAACTGTTATAAAGTCTAAAATTAAACAATTTAAAAACCTGTTTAAAATAAACATTATTTTTAAATACGTTTCAAGACGGTTTCCATATTGAATCCGATATTTTAGATGTTCAAAAAATGACGTTTGATTCGTATAATCAGCGACCTCAAAAACTTCCGAGTAGGCATTTTCGAGGTGCATGAATTTCCCATAAAAATCAATAATTAGATTTTTTTTATTTTAAAGTATATTTTATTAAAAATAATGATTTTTTAGATGATTTTACAATTTTCAAATTAAAATTTGACAGATTTTATTTTGTACGAATTTTTACATAACAAAATTTTTAGCTATCGAATTTAAAAGAATTCTCATATTCAATCGAATTTTATGTGATTCAAATTTCTAAATTTTTAAATTTTTAATTAGACGCCGAATTTTCATGTGTCCGAAATTACTAATGGCCAGAAAGATATTGACGTAATTTTTAAAATTGTCCAATTAGAAATAATCAAGAAAATCGTGATTGGGGGCCATTCATTAATTACGTAAGGACGATTTTGGCTAATTTTGACCCCCCCCCTACCCCCATGTAAGGATACATAAGATTTTTCGGACCCCCCCTCCCTCTTCTTACGTAAGTTTTTAACAATATTAATGTAATTAAAAAATTAATTACATCAATACAAATGGAAAATACTTGGCAAAATCTTACGTAAGATTAGCTTCTACCCCCCACCCCCCACGTAAGACCATGTAGAGATTTTATAAACCCCCCCTCCCCCTAAGGACCCTTACGTAATTAATGAATGGCCCCTTGGTCAATTTTAAAAATTGCGCCATAATCTTTCTAACTATTTGTAATTTCAGAAAAATGAAAATTCGGCGTCTTAAAAATTTGGATAAATTAAAATTTTGGTAAATTAGAATTTCCGCTCATTTAAAAATTTGAATCACCTTAAAGTTTGATTGAATATGAGAATTGTGTTAAATTATTAAAATTCTTTTAAATAAGATATTAAGTCATACAAAGAAAATGATTGTAAAATAAAAATTCTGCCAAACAAAAAGCTAAACATTTTGTTATGTAAAAATTCGTATGAAAAGAAAATCTGTCAAATTTTAATTCGAAAATTGTAAAATCATCTAAAAATATTTATTTATAATAAAATACTTAAAAATATAAATTTTAATTAATGATTTTTATGGGAAATTCAAAAGCGTAGCTTAATTTTTAATATTGTCAGTAAATTAGTTAAATAGGTCAGTATAAACCAAAAAACACGTGCAATTGACATTTGAAAAATTTAGTTTTGATTTTTGTTAAATAAATAATAAATAAACTAGATATTTGATCCTAATTATAAAATAAATTATTAAATTTAAATACTGTTGATTTGAATAATAATCATAAAGTAAAAATTACACTCAGAGAAAAGATTTTTCTTATTGATTTAAAGAAATCAATTTCTTTGACTTATTTTCTTTCATTCAAAATAAAATTTTCATTGAAACAAAATAAAGCTTCTTAGTTTAAAAAAAATTTCTTTAATTCAAAGAAATTTTCTTTGAATGAAAAAAATTTTTGCACTAAATCAAAGAAATTCTAACATTGATATATAGGGTCAAAGAAACATTTATTTGTATATTAAATAAATTTTTTTTTTTAAACGACAATAATTTTTTTAGAATCAAAGATAATTTGTTTAATATAAATAAATTTTCTTTGGATCAAAGAAAAAATTTGTCAAAGAAATTGATTTCTTCGAATCAAAGAAATCTTTTTTCTGGGTGCACTAAATGAAAATAAATTTAATTATTAAGAAAAACTTTTTATTAAAAAAGTACCCGCTGCTGAAATATTTTTTTGTTACTACGCTACTGTGCTTATACTACAGCCAGAGCCAGAGACTATGATAGATGCCAGAGACTGTAGTTGGAATGTAGTGGTGGTCAGATTTATTTTATACATTAAGTATTTTACATTGAAAAGAAAATAATTATTTCGATCACATTAAGAATATTAAATAATATTCGATTTAAAACTATTAAAATGTTTTCTAGACATGTGTAACTGAAATTAACCTTGGATAAAATGTGACAAAGTGATTGTAGTGATTATAATTTTAAGGTTAGAGATTTCTCATATTTTTCTCATTATATACATAAAGCATGTTTAAAATTGTTTTTAAAACTATCATTCTTTTTAGACACCTAGTTTATACATGCTTTTAGTAAAAATAAAGAATGATACCTAATTTTTTAATGACTTCCTATGTTTTTATTTTTTAAAAGGTTCTCCAACAATGTGAATGAAGTGTCAGCTGATCAGCCCCGTAACCATTGATTACACTCAGTACAGTAAAGTATGACATGTTGTCCACGTTATATATTTTAATATTAAAAAATAAATCAATTTAAATAATATATTAGAAATTGAAAATAAAATTTGGAAATTAAAATAAGTTTCATTTAATAGTTTAAATAAATAATTAATTTAAAAAAATTTTTAAATTATTGAAAAAATATTTTTAATTAATTTTTTTCAGACAACTAAATATATGAACTAAATTCATTTTAATTATTGAAAAATAATCTCTAAAACTACATTTTATCTACATTTACTGATATCAATTTAAATTTTTACTCTTTCATGCTAATTAAAGCAGTTAATTTTATCTTCTCGTTCAAGTTCAGGTTACGTTTTTGTTAATTATTTATTTAAAAAAATAAATATCTATGTTACATATTGAAAATATTTATAATATTAATTAAAATTTATTTAAAAAATAAATTCTAGGTACAATTTATAATTATAAAAATTTTCAAATTAACAAAAATCTAATTATTTATTAATATTTTTAAAAATATACTCATATAATAATAAAAAATAGTAGATACTTAAAGTAACTGTTGTAGAAAGAAAATTCTTTTTTCAGATCGTAAAATTGAATCATGGGTGAAGATTACATTGAGAATTCATTTGTTTTTACATTTCCAACATGTACAACAAATCAAGAACACAAATTGGAAATTCCTTTACGAATTCCATTTCAAGGCTCAATAAAGGAACTTGTGCATCGTACAATGCTAGCATTTAAATTGCCATCATACATTGAAAAAGATTTATTTGAATCGCTTGAGAGTACTGTGAAGAACTTAACATTGAAATTTTATGACGAAAAAGCAGAAAAATACATTGACGCTGCAGTAGAAGGAGATTTGGATGTCGAAGAAATTATTAAAAATTGGGAGAAAATGTACAAACAAAAAACTGTAGAATATGCTGAACCCTTAGGAACAACGGATGAAGAATTATTTGCTGCTGCTTATCATCGACTTGTACATTCGCCTTCTTTAGAACCAATATTGCAGGCTGAACATAAATATGGAGGAGATGTTACAAAAGTTACTGAAATGAGAAATGCTGCTCAGGAACAATTGACACGAAAGTAGGTTTAATTCACTTGTTTCACTATATTGTGTTCTTTGAGTCAGTTTTCTGCATATGAGAGACAGACTGATGATTGGTAATTCTTCAATAAGTTTCAGTCAAAATTATATTCATGTTGGTAATATGACATTTCCTAGTAGTAAAAGGTTACTTGAGTTTCTTTTAAAAAAAAAATTTAGCAAATTTGCTGTAATTGCGGAGGATCTTGAAAATTAAAAAAAAATTATTTTATCAACAAATGCACACGGAAAAAAACTGAAAGCACTGAGTATTTTTTCTCACAGCACTGGCTACTGTGTAAACCAAAAAATTAAATTCCAGAGTTCTGAAAGTTCTCCACACAGCACTGAATGCTCTGCAGAAAATAATCACAACTTTTTTTTGACAGTAATCAGAGTTTTGTTTCATATTAGTTAACAACAGATTATTCAGAACTACGAATGTAGCAATAAATTCTTTGCTCGAAGTCGTGACTGCTGTTCTTACAGCTCTGAGTACTGTGTAGAATTATTTTTTAGAATTTAGAAAACAAAGGAACGTTTAACGTCAATTAAAAAGAAGATAGCCATGGTTATTTTTTCTTGTCAAATATTCATTTTTATTGGCATGTTTATAAACAGTTAATGAACAACAGAAATAAAGAAATGAAGACTTTAAAAAGTCTTTTTAAAAACTATCGGTTTTTAAAAATTTTTTTAGTTATATAGCAAATAAAGTTATTATATTAGAATGAAATAATGAATAATTATTTTTAAAATAAATTATTATGGGTAAATTTTAAATATTTATTTGTATTTCACGAGTTTTGAGATTTTAAGATTTCTTAGCTAATATCAAATTACAACCTAATTTAAATTTATAGATAATTATGATTAAAAAATAATAAGTTTCAACATTATTATTTCAAATATTTATCTCTTAAAGTAAAAAAAAAGATATAAATTATCTTAGTCAAATAGTCTGTTTTTCATAAAAATATTAGAAAACATCTAAAATTGATTAAAATTGTCTTGAACGCTTGTTTAAAATTGTTGTCTATTTTTCATTAAAGGTTTAATGTTCTTTTATTTCTTTAATCTTAAAAAATAATTCTACACAGTACTCAGAGCTGTGAGAACAGCAGTCACGACTTCGAGCAAAGAATTTATTGCTACATTCGTAATTCTGAATAATCTGTTGTCAACTAATATGAAACAAAACTCTGATTACTGTCAAAAAAAGTTGTGATTTTTTTCTGCAGAGCATTTAGTGCTGTGTGGAGAACTTTTAGAACGCTGGAATTTAACTTTTTGGTTTACACAGTAGCCAAATTTTTATAAGCGGGGGCAGATTCGTTTTCGGAAATAGTAAATGAATGCATTTTTCATTAATTATAATTAATGATGATTTGGAAGATTCTCAAAACTAAACGATGCAATAGGATTTGTTAGCATTTTTGATTAAATTTATTCTTCTGATTCGGTTTTATAAATTATAATTTTGAGGTTGATTATTTTTTAATTATACTAATTTTCGCATTAAAATTTTTTTATTTTTAGTTGTAAGATCAGTAATTAGAGATTAAATGGGATTGTAATTGGATGACGGTAAGGTATTTCCAACTAAATCATTGTTTTCAAAGGTTTTCAATTATTTTAAGGAAAAATGTCTTCTGAAATGAAATATTTTTCCAATAGATCCTGAATTGTTTTTGGTGACGGTAATTTTTACTTTGGTATAACTTTAAACAGCATACGGCGAAATCGCATAAGAATTAGTTTTATAAAATTTTATATGATCCGTTTGAAAAATTCTGATCCGAATACAATAAATTATATTTTAGACAAACGGACGAAATGCGTATAGCTGTGGAAACACTGGAAAGTGGCTCTACTGAAAAATCAATTAATGATATGGCTGGTCGACATTTTGAAGAGATGAGTTTATTACAAGGCCATTGGGGGTCTAAAATAGATGCATTAAAACTCGAACAAAGACGACAGCATCGAAATTGGATCATGAGATTATTAGAAGAGCAACAAACAAGTATGCTGTCTACTCCTGTGTGAGTATTTTCAAAGTAAATTTCTTTTAAATCAAATTCTTTCATTTTTAAATTATATAACTAGTAAAAATTAATTATTTACCAAAGTAGCAGAAGATTGCAAATATTATCGCAATGTTGATTCAAGGTTACGTACGTGTATTTGTTTCATTTCTTTCATTGTGCTTTCGTAAAAGAATCTTACATTGTAGTCTAATTTTTGTGCATCACAGTGACCTAACCCCTTAATTATTTTCGAATTTTTATTTCAGTATTTTTATTTTATTTATTAAACATATTTGTTTATTTTATTTTTTATTTATATTCACTATAAAACAAAATTTTTCATTTGTAATTAATTTTACAGAGAATCACCTATGGTGGCAGTTCCTCCTATTAGACCGGGATTGAATAATTTTTTTAGAAATGATGAAAAAAGTACAACAGTTTTTCCACAATTAGAAGAAAGTTTTACAATACATTTGGGATCTCAAATGAAACAGATGCACAATATTCGTATTTTAACTGGTGACGTTTTAGATTTTTGTCGAGTTATACGTAATGATAGTCGGTAAGTAAAAAAACATTTTAAAAAATTCTATAGTTATATATCTCAGGCATCAGTTGTAACGATAGTTTGAAAATTCGCGGGTAAATATTTTTACTAAATATTATCATATGTCAATAAATATATTGCCGACCGCAGAGAACATCGACGTAGTACCTGATCACGCCGCGCGTGCGCCCTGGCTACCAATCAGCTATATAAGCTGCGCTCCCGCAGACAATTGTCACTCTCGTGCTTCACAAAATCGAGGAGGGTCTGACCCTCAAGACAAGGGGTCTTACCCCAGGATTCTCACTCCGAATATATATCGTAGAGAGTATCACTCTTTTTTCAACGTGGTTTCACTCGTTAAATCCGTAAATCGGTTTAAAGTAACGTAACACGACATATTGTAATCACGTCCTTATCGTAAATTATTGATTCTTACATAGATTATTTCGGTTCTTTTAACGTATTTAGATATACTAAGAGTTTTACTCGTGGTTATCCAGTATATCGCTGCAGCAGTAAGGTCACGGATTTTTGGCAGTATAGGGGTAGATTTCACGGCTCATTGCGATTCAAATCGACGCCGATATAATTAATTCACGGCTCAATAAAACGTTACCAGATTGATGCCGATATTCTTGATTCCGCGGCTCAAATTATCCCTATAGACGCCAACAATCGCAGCTAGAAACCAACTTCCGCGATTCACCCATTATCTCCGTTAACTTTTTGACATTTGTAAATATACTGTGTAAATAAATAATTTGTTGTTGATTGTAATTAACCTTCTTTTTTTTACGAGGGAAGTTGAAAATCTGCATAACCCTTAGTATCCAAAGCAGATACTTGGAGCCCGGTGCTCCGAGGTTATGTGGGATGAGCGTTTTTGTTCTGGTCGACCCACTAAAAACAGCACCCTTTGGCTTGATTAATCCTTACACTACGGAACTGCCGTCAAGCTTTAAACTTCGTAGGTGAAGGTCCCTGGGATCTCGCTATCGCGACCCTTGCCGTTGCCTATCTTACTGGCCTACTTGGCTTTGGTTCTTGCGAGAGTCTTCTTGACTTCCTCGAGGACTGACCTAAAGACTCTGCATGCTCCACTTCCAGCGACGTGGTTGAAAGGAACCTTGTTGCCGGACTTCGCTTTGCACAAAAAGCAACTGGGGCTGCTCTTGCAATCGCAAACTTATGATCGGCTTCCCCGCACTTAAAGCAAACAGCAGAACTTTCTGCTTCCATGCAGCTTCTTGCTAGATGGCCGTAACCCAGGCATCGGTGACACCGGACGACCATGACTCTGTTTCTTATTTGGCAGGACATAAAGCCAATCTTTATGCGCCCCAATTCCTCCAGTCTGGCAGCCTCTTCAGGTCAGTGACAACAACTACGAGCTTCATCCCTCACTTGTTGGGTCCTAAGACCGTCACCTTCCTGCTTTTTGGCTTTCCGAGTTCTCGTTCCTAGATTTCTGCTTCATGGGTAAGGAAATCCAGGTCGCGGATCTCGAGTGTAACTTTCCTATCCACCGTCTGCACCTTACTCATGCTGCCAACAGCCTTGATCACCTCAGCGGTAAAAGCTACCTTGTCCGAGTCACCTCCGACCCTCATTAAGAGATCCTCTCGAATCCTTGGTCTCGTTGGACTGCTTCGACTGCGGTGCCTCTGTCACCTTGAAATCCTTCCTCAATAGAGGTGCGAACAACCATCGGCAGTGATTAACCTTGTTATTATTTTTATGTCGAATCAACAGACCCTCGCTCTACGAGCTTAAATTGATTCTTTAATTACAAACGTTACTCAGTTATTATTATAATAAAATTCTTTTTTGCATGGATATTCGTACGAGAGAATTCATCTCCCAAAGCTACAAAAATTTATAGCAAAAGCTTTTTAACTATTTCTAAATGAAATTTACTTTTATTAGCATGGATCCAACACCACAACGACTTCAAACTGCATTAGGATTGTATTCGAATGATTTATGTGGATTGGTACTCCTTAGCGACAGTAATTTGGGCAGTTTTTCTGGAATCACGAAAGGTGTGATAAAATTAATTTTTACAAACATGTTATAAAATACAATTGTTTACTAAAAATAAAAACTCTTATTTACAGAATTAAGTTCGATATGTCAACTTACTACAGAATTTCATTTTCCTCCAATTGATGATCAATTAGAAAAAATACGTGAGGATGTCAAAGAAGCTATTACATGGAAACAAGAACATCAAAGAGAAGAAAGTGAATCTCAGGTTAAGTATTTATTATTGTTTTGATGGAATTAATTTTCCTTATCCCATTTACATAAAAATGGTTTATTCACATTTATATATGTGAATAATTGTAATATAACTTTTCGTGCTTTAGGTCAAGAAATTATCAAGTAAAGCACTACAAACTGGCGATATTTTTATTACTCGACATTCAAATTTAGCACAAGTTCACGTTTTATTTCATATGGTGGTGAATGATTCATTGAGATCAGGTAAATATTGCATAATATTTCAATTGGATTTTCTTATAATTATAATTATAACAAAATTATTTACTTTGTAGGTGATATTAATTCCAGACATCCAGCTATTTTAGGATTAAGAAATATTTTGAAAAATGCATGTTGCAACGATGTGACAACACTCACAATTCCAGTATTATTAGTACATGAAATGACAGAAGTAATTGAATGTTATTTATTTTAAAAATTAATTTAAATAAATAAACAACTATTAAAATATTAATTTTCTATATTATAGGATATGACAGTTGCATGGTGTACAAAAAGAGCCGAATTAGTATTCAAATGTGTTAAAGGATTCATGATAGAAATGGCTTCTTGGGGTGGGGCAGAATTAAAGAATTTACAATTTTTAGTTCCAAAGGTAATAAACCAATTGTATTCAAATATATTTAATTTTAATATTTAACAAAAAAAAAATACTTTTTTTAGGGAATGTCTGATGAAGTATTTGGTACCTTAGCTATTATGCTTCCTAGCATATTTCGTGTATCAAATCCACTTGTATTTAAGGCTACAAGTACTCCACAAACTCCTAAAAAATGACATGTGAAAGATGAGGAAAAAAGTTTTAATTGAAAAACTTTAAAAAAATAAATTAACCTAACTTGGAGTGATCGATATCATCTTACTTATCAAATATTCTCGAGAGATAAATTCAAAATAATGTTATTTAAAAAAAAGTTAGTAAAAGGTTTTTAGTATAGAAAGTGATGTATCTTTTTAAAGATTCGATACAGTTGGACTTTTAAAAATATATTCAAAAGCGTTAGCTGGTTAAAATATTTTCAATATATACAAAGAGTTAATTTTGTATTATAATTATAAGTATATAATAAACAGATTTTAATTATTTTTAGAATTGTAATAATTAATTTTAAAAATAAGTACATAGAAAGGACCAAATATAGTAATGTAATCACATAATTCTGGCTAACCCCTTTCCTTAAACCATTGATCCCCAAATTATCAATTGATATTCCACTATATAAACCACGCACTTTTGAAGAAAAAAGAAGTTCTTATTTGGGTGTCACTTTCATTAGTTGTTCTTCAAGAAAATCCCTATTGTTCTACAAGTGATAACGTTAGAATAAGATTCCTTTTCAGTCTTCTCTAAATTTTAGATGGATTGCCAGACAAACCCCTGTTCCTTAGTTCGAAGCCTTCCGTTACGTAAATATAACAGGTTTTAAAAAAATAATAATATAATAGATTTTGTGCATCTCCTTCTGATATGTAACACTATGGTCTTTAATAGTGAAGATAACTGAACTGCGGAAGAAAGGTTGTGAATTTCGTTTAAAAATAAAAAATATTAAAATTAAAAATTTTGTAAAATTATATTTTTTCTTAAAGTTTGACAGTTTCGGCGTCAGACAACATTTTTGTATAACAATAAAAAACGAAAAATGAATAAAATCTCAGAAGTGATCCTCTCAGTCTCATATGAGACACACCTCAAAATCGTAAGTTCTATTACTTTTACATTTGCAGTTACTGTATTTATTAACTGATATAATAATCAGCGCCTAATACTTCTTCTTTTTCGTCTTTTGATTACGAGCATCTCTTCCGTAATGATGCTGATGCCTCTTCAGAAGCTTTTGTAAGAGATGCAGTTTCAATTGTAATTTAAAAAAAAACTTAAGGTTTTATACATTCCTCAAAACGCTCCTGAAGATCACTATCATTCAGTATTTTAACAAGATCATTAGAAGATTCTACAACATTAGTGTAGGAAACCGAATCTCTACTTGTTTTTCTTCGTATAACCCAATTGGTAATAGAACTTCTGAATATCAATATTATGCTCACTATTATTAAACAAAGACCCACTGTAACAATGCAAATCCACAAAATAGGAGCATAGTTGTACGTATCAGATAAGCATTGTAACTCATCTACTGGTATTTCACCTATAAGCTTCCTTTGAACTAATGCTGGTGAATGGCATCTGTAAAATTGAAAATAGTTTTAAACACAATTTTATGAGATATATTTACATTACATATTGTCTCGATTTTCAAAATTATCTGAATGAAATATAATAGAAAAATCTTACACTATCTGGTTTCTAAGATTGTGAGATGTGTTAACCATCAGTATCCATTCCATTTTACAGTCACAATACCAGGGGTTATTTTGGAATTTAAATATTTTTACTTCTTCAATCATCGATTGCAGCTCCTTGCCCAATTTTTCAAGAGCGCAATCTTGAATGTCTAGGTAACGAAGCTCAGGCAATAAGTGATCCATCGGCGCCAACGTCGTTAACTGTTTTAATTTCTTAGAACTTCTCAATGACAATGAATTTAATTTTGTACACTTTTCAAAATCATTCAGATTTACTGAAGAAAGATTTTGCATATTATTAAGTCTCAGTACTTGTAACCGGGGTAATTTAAACGAATCAAATCTGTATATGTTTGTTTGAGACAAATCTAGTATTTCTAAAGTCATGGGTAGTACAGGAATTACTTCTATGGGATTCAAAGATAAATCTAGAAATACTAGTTTTAATAAATTCTCAAACATTTTTGTATAAAAAAAGGATACAGATATATTTTTTAATTCTAAATGCTTTAAAGTAGTCAAATTTTCAAATACAAATTCATCCATATTGTCGCCTATTGGGTTGTGTGATAGATATAACTTTTCCAATACCTGCAAAAAAATTATATATTTATAATAAGTTATATTAATTTAAAACTGTCCAGGTTTAAGTTTGGGCATTTTCACCAGATCAGTAACAAACATAACATCAATTCCTGTACTATAGGATTATTAGAAAAGGGAGTAGAGTTATGAGGTACAATACACATTCCCAAAGAATCGAGGTAACGTAATTAGTATCATTTAGTTAATAGTCTGAGAGTAAGAACAAATTTATTAAACAGATAAAGTTAATATTTTTTATATGTACCTCCATATGTTGAAACATCGTATCGTTCAATCCACTTAATAAATTCCAAGAAACGTCCAGCGTCTCTAATTTAACAGTTTTATTATTCAAGGTACGTTCATCAATATATTCAAGTTGGTTGTGACTGACATTTAAGAATCTTAGAATATATGTTTCATCTTTGCAAAGAAAATAAAACTTATCCAAAGAATTTCGTGAAAGGTCTAAAACCTCTAAACTATGTAAAGTTGTTGCACAGTCTACGAAGCTGTTTAAAGCATTTCCACTGAGATTTAATTCCTTTATATTCTGTACATCAATTTGACGTTGATAATTTTTAAAAAATTCCTTATTATCCATATTTCTATTGGAGAGGTCAACCTGAAATGAAATTATTAATTTACATATTAAAAATTTGTTTAAGCTTCAATAAATTATATATATATATATATATATTACATATTAAACTGTTGAGATGTCAGATAAGAACTAAACAAAAAATTTGAATTACTTTTCCAACAACCCAGCAAACAAAAACAAATTGAAATGAATATAAAAATGAATTACCACGCAAATTTATATTAATCTCATTTTCTGATCCATTAGGACAAATTGAAAGAAATAGAAATGAATTTCCATTTAAAAATGGCAAATTGTATATTTTTAATGAAATAATACTATTATGAAATCATTGATATTCAAATTGACTGAATCGGGAATCCTTGATTAAATGTGAATCGCGACCCTTGCCATTGCCGATCTTTCTGGTCTATTTATTCTTTGTTTGTGCGAGAGTATTTTGAAGACTCCGCATCCTCCGCTGCCTGCGACATGGATAATGTTCACCTTATCGCCATACTTTTCTCTACATAAGAAGCAGCTTGGGTTTCTACTGTAGTTTGCAAACTTATGATCGACTTCACTGCACTTGAAGCACACAGTCGATCTGTCCGCTGTCTTACCAACTCTTCCCATGTGGCCGTCCGCCAGTCATCGGTGACATCGATTCACCGTCTGCACCTTCCCTATGCTTCCAACCGTTTTGGTGACCTCAGCGATGAGTGCCTCCTTATTGCAGTCGCCTCCAAATTTGATCAAGAGGTCTCTCCTTTTTGTAGGCCTTGTGCCCTCAATCTGCTATCGTAGATCCACTCGTGACCTTGTTGACATCGGTGGGTGAATAATCCTAACGTTGCCCTGCTCTGCGTGTCGTAAGAGGCGATTAATAATAAGGTTAAAAACTCACATCGCTTAGAGCAAGACATTAGAGAGAAAGCTGATTCAAGTGATCAGTCTTCTTCCAAGTTGTCGACGTGTAAGTTGCTGCATAACAACTTGCGGGCAGGAACCTGCATAGTTCCTGGGGATTGGAAAGGTCCCGCCCTAAGTCGAGGGTCCGTGGTGTCGTATCTTGACCATCGGAAAACTATCCCTTTAATTTAAAGTGAGAGTCAGTGTTGTAGAACGATGACTATGTTGAACAAATGTTTGAACGACGACATACAGTGAGAGTCACGAATCAATTTGCGAACTTCTGAAGAAAAGAGATAAGTTGAACGAGGCATATTGTCTCTTTTTCGTTAAAAATCTTCTACATTGTAACGCAATTCCCGCTGTAGGTCCACTCGTGGCTGTTTGGACGAATACTACCAACGTTATGCATGTTCGTAAATAGTTAATCGTACAAGTATTCAAAGTTGAATTTCACAAAAAAGTTTTAAACTCTTCATCAATCTTCTTGTTTGGGATTATCCCATCTAACCTCTTTTTAAAAAATCTTTCAAACTGTAACGCAATTCCTGCTGTAAATCTAATCGTCGCTTTCTTCTTACTGGTTTCCTTAAGATTCGGTGTTACCGTCACCTTCTCTTTAAATTTGAATCAGTGGAATTTCACTGGTGAACCAGTTATATTCACTGATTGAATTAGTGAAATCTGTTTTATCGACAGAGTCTACTGAAACACCCGTGTTTTTGTTACGCATCTAAATACTTTTCTCTTAAAAGTTAAATTTCCGCCCTTTTGTCGCGCAACTAAACATCTTTCTTTTATATATAAAAGACCCCTGCGTTTTGTATCCTTCTACGTCTATATACTGTATTTCTAAAACATACAAATAGAAGCGAGAAATCTTTTATGACACTAGAAGAGCTCACACCCCCACGAAACAAAATGCTCTCTTTCTAATTTTCCCTATGTGCTAAAGTTAGACGATGTAATAAATGCTCTCTTTCTAATTTTTCTAAGTGACGAACCCCTGTGGTATCACCACATTAGAAGACCATAAACACACTTCTACAGCTGCGAATAACCGTAGTCGTACTCTTTCTATCTTGTATTAGAATGGTTCACACCCCCCCTTTTTTACGTTCAACTGAGAGAGAAGGACTCAACTTTGGCTTCCAAAATAAGGGTGAAAAATATATAGTACGACAATAAAATTTTATCTATTCTCTTGCGAAAAATCAGTATAAAAGGACTACATTTTCACGGAGAGATCGGTTCTGAAATCATCTTCATACGTATAACATCAACCTCATTATTGGTACCAGTCGACGTCTTCTAGTTTAAGTGCATAATTTTCTTATACGAAAGTGAAAATCAAGTGTCAAAACCCTCTACATTAAACGAGGATCTTTACTTCTCATTACATTGGGCAATTATCCATTCTTCCTTTATTTGGAAGAGACTTATTATTGGGAATTTCATCACGCCTAATAGAACTCCGGACCTGCGGTTATACCTGGGCCCGTCAACCTACCTGACGTCATAAACTCACGCTGGTACCAGCTCTTTTCCTGTGACAACATGGACACAGCAGTGGTCCTTTTTCTTTCAAGACACCTACTACTGAATTTTAAGGTAAGTGTTTTATATTCTCACTCCTAACTTTTCTAAACTTTTCGTTTATTTGTAGTAACCCTTGCATTCCTTATTTCAGTTGAATGTTGAACTCTATTTCCTGGATTGGTTGGTTCGAGATTTCCTCTCTCTCATAAGAACGAATTGTTGTAACTAAAAATACTTGTCTAAATAAATTGTAACCTAATTATAAAATTAATCACTATTCTCTTTCTTTCCTGTACCCTTAGTTCGGAGCCTTCTGCTCTATAAATGAAACAGGAATTCACTGAATCACCGAGCGGCCATAAATAAAATAAAATATTATTTCGTTAGTTATTTCTCTATTTGAGACGTAACACTTCCAATAAAATTTTCACTGAATGAAACCAGTGGTATCTGCTAGGGCGTGCATTGTCTTCGCCTCATTGACAAGATTCTGTAGAGTCTTACGTCCATCCTTAATAGTCATGTTGACATTCTTATGGACTTCGAAAGACTTTTCCATCTTGGCGATCTTCTCTTCGATCCTCTGAAGACACTCAACTTCCTCCTGCTTAAACACTAATCAAACTTCTTCTGTTTAATTATTCCGTTTAATTATCATTTTGTTCATTCATTTAATAACCTCTCTCCATCTTAGTTTCTTTAACCAGAGTTAAATTGAGGGATTAGAGTATAGGGAATAATTATAAGTTCTTAGATTAGGAAAAATTAATAATAATTAAAAATTTATAAATAATTATGACATAACAAATAATTTTCTAAAAGTTTTTTAGTCGTTTTTTTATTTCTCCCCTTATCTGTTTCGAGTTAGGTATAATCTTATGCATGTTCGTAAATAGTTAATCGTACAAGTATTCAAAGTTCAATTTCACAAAAAAAAGTTTTAAACTCTTCATTAATACCCTTGTTTGGGAAACAACAATGAGAAAAATTTAAAACATTTAAAAAGTATATTTTAAGTTCTTTATAAAAATGTTTATAATAAATTTGTTCAGTGTGCGACAATGTGACGCCTCCCGATGATAAAACATTCTTATTCAATTATAAATTTATATAATAATTCTATCCCCAAAAATATAAATATAATATGAAGTGAACTCGAAAATTTATGACTGATAATTCTTAATCACTTTTCAATTCAAGATAATTCTACATCAAAATTAAATGTGTGCAATAAAATATCAAGTTAAGCTAACGTTCAATATGATTCATTCACAAAGTATAATATGTATTTCAATAAAATATTAACTCCATATTAAAAATATTTTTAAGATAGGAGAGACTGCACTGTTGACGGTTGTGACAAGGGAAAATAGTAACAAGTGTTACTATTTTAGCTTTAGCTTTTATAGATATTCATGAAGATTGTTAAAATTCGAACATAATACAATTTTATGGGGATTTTGAGGTCAGTTACTGAGAATCATGTATGAAAAATTAGTTTCCAAAGTTTCTGATTCAAAAGTTTTTATTTACTCAATTAATACACAGTTTAGAGATGCTTTTTGATTGTTGTAACATTATTTTGTACTAAAAATGACAAATAATTAACTAAGTTTATATGTTAGTACCGGAAAATAATGAAGAATAGATCATTATAATTGTCTCCAAATACATATTTACCTGATGTTAGTTATACCTTTCTGTGACAGTTAATTAATATTTATTATTAAATTAGTAATTCACTGTGTACTTACTTTAAGGTTTTCTGATGATTCTGCTAATATATTTACAATAGAAACGGTGAAAAATACTATAATGTAAAGCCATGTTACCAAACGCATCTTAAACTTTAGAAAAAAATCAGTACATTCAATACACTTAACTCACAGCAGAGATCACCTATATCGATCTAAGCTTACACTCAACGATTGACAGAATGACAGAGAATTCATCGACGACAAACAGGTCAAAGAGTTCAGAACTGTGAGGCGAACATACAAATCTTTGATAAATTCAGATTGTTTCGCATAGCATTCATAATATGCAATTATGCTCCCAGATTTAATTACTTTAAGACAATCGTCTCTCTCATAACTTGTAGGGCATAGCAAAGGAATTGGAATCATGTAAGCACAAACAGGATTGTGACGCAAAATTTTGACAATTATGAGAAAATAGTTTAAAAGTACCTAGAGAAAACGTCTATAAACATGGATTAATTGTCCCTTAAAAAATTTTGTATCACAACCGTTTCTTGTCTCCCCTAATGGTAAAGTTTAAAATATAACAAACTTATCCTTTAAACTGCTTTAGCGGTCTAACCTCTATCTAAAATTATTTAGCTTATTAATTTTTTTTTAAAGTATAATGAAGCTTGAGCTTTTCAGTAGTTTCATATGTTATAAAAATCTATTAGATGACAATTGTTTCAAAACTTTCGTCATTTCATAAAAGTAACCTGATCTTTCTAATACTGTAACACTAGAAAATTTTGCTTGTACAGTATGAGAAAGATTTTTTTCTCTAAAGATGGTAGAGTTGAGCAATATCTACAATATTCGCAACATCATCTTAATATTTTAATATTGCAGAAATAATGGTAATAATGAGGCAATGTTGCTGAAATTTTAGGTGCTGTGGGTTTCAATCTCCAGTCTCCACAAATTTATTTTTAATATTATAGCGAATGGGAAATAACTTGTGAATTAAAGTATACACTTGTGTTTAATTATCCTGAATTAACTCGAATTACTAAGAATTATCTTGAATTAACTTGAAGTATATGAATTATTCTGAATTATCTGAAGTATCGTGAATTATCAATTATTTTGAAGTATACATAGGTGTACACCAAATTTTTTAGTTGTTTCCCTCTCGTATTATAGATAAAAAAATATTCGTTTTATTATTAAATAAAAACTTCTATTGTAAAGCAATTTTATTTAAGAATATTTATTCAAGGAAGAAAATGTATTATTAATTAATTTAACAGTCGCGTGTCAAATAATTTTGTAGGTTGCGCAATATTTCAGTAATGAAGATTACGAAAGTTTATCAAAAAGAGCACAGTATTTGTGCAAAAGCAAACAAAGATTATGCCAAACATAAAAATAAACTCATTGCCGGAATAAAAAAAAAGCAAAAAAAATTGTATAATTAAAAATCAGGTAATTATTAAAATTAACATACCTAAAGCATCACGGTATATTCCCTGAATATCATCGTGAAATATTCCCATGATCTTCTAGGAAAATGAAAATATTCACCTCATAGGAATATTCCACGGTGACATTCAGGGAATATTCCAGTGACATTGAGGGGATATTGAGGAAATATTCCAAGGTTATAGGGTAAGTCCGGGGAGTTGGCCATGCGGGAGAGATGGCCAATTACTGGATGGAAAACTTTTTTTTTATGTTGTTTTTTAACATTCTGACAGACATATCTTTTTATTGAGTAAAGATAAAAAGTAAGTTAAACAACCAATTTGTAGGGAATTTTATAAGCTTTCAAATGAATATTATAACTTTTGCCATTAAAATAATATATATAGTGATTAGGCTTAAAAACTACCAGAAAACGCTATTTTTTGCTGTTTTTATGAATTATAAAATTGATATTACTTCTTTTTTACATCTTAACTGCATTATGTTGCTTTAGGTACACATACGTTAATTTCCAACAGAAATTTTAACTGTGGGGTACTTTTGGATCTAGCTATAACAAAGAACCTACAAAAAATTACGAAAAATTGAGTTTTCTTTTTATTCCTTCCATAAAAGATTTTCATTTTTAGCTGAAATTATTCAGTTTTGATACTAGAATGAGATTTGAGAGAAAAATTGGATGGGGGGGAACTTTTGAGTTAAACCTCATCCAAGAGCACCGTGCCAAACGTGCTAGACACTTCTATATATGCTTAAATTAAAGCTTAGATCGTACAGGATTAAAAAAAAATTCGAAATTTTGATAAAATGGGGGTAATGACCCCAAAAATCTTTTTAAGTGACTTGAACCTAATTTTTTTCAAAATTTCAATTTTTTTTTATTTTGCGCGGTGAGACAAACAGACAGACAGCGCTTATGAAAATTGCACTGAATTTAATCATAAATGTTCGAAATGTAGTCAGAAAAAAAAGACTTTAATCCCTTTAAATTAAAAATTTTGATAAAGTGAAAAGCTAAAAATTGATTTTAAAGTATTCGCCATCTCCCCCGTACATTCCGGGAGAGATGTCCAAACGCGTTTTTTAAGAAATATTAATTTCAAGATTGTTTGCATTTAAAAAATTTCTCATTTCTATTATTCTTTTGTAAGTTAAATGTTCAATGTTTAATTATCAATAAAAGTTAATACATAAATCACTTTCTTTTTATTTTTACAGACCTTTAAAAAAACTATGCCCAACTCCCCTGGACTTACCCTATTAAATTATTTTTTTTTAAGTGTTGAAATAATGGAAGTGTGTTATAAATTGATATTCTAATAAGGAGAAATACTAAAAACATATTTAAAAATATGTTATCACCTGAATATCCTCTCAATGTGGAATATTCCTATGAAATTCACTAAGGTATCAAGGGTGTAGTAATTACGGTCATATTTTTTTTTTTGGTAAATATTCATTTTATTGAAAAAAGTGATTTAAAAAAAACTTGTGTTTTAATATTTGCTACAAGCTAGCGTTTTTAAAGAGTCAATATTTGGAGTTTTTAATTTTTCTTCATTTTCTTACCATCGATTGCCTTATCAGCGTTCAGCCGAGCGAAGATCGAGTTATCGATTGACGTCCACAATTAATAAAACATTTTGCCCGTATTATGGTCATTTTCAAATCTTATACACACATGTTTTTCATTATTAAAATTACAATAATTTTCATAGCATATCAATTTATATTATATCTTAAAATAATTTTAATAACTTAAACTTTGTTTTCTCATAAGTTATTATGATGTGAAAAAATATAATTAAGAACAAGTAGACATTGTTGAAAATCACATATAAAAAATGAAATAATTCTTCATCTGCATAATAAATTTATATCAAATTTTTTGTAAATGATTGCTCGTATTACAAATTAATATATCCAACAAAAATAAGGTAAAATATTCTTATAATCAAAAGAATATATCAAGAGAGACATAAAAGTTAAAAATTCCAGAGAAAAGCTTATACGTAAACCCCAATTTTACCAAATATTCTCTATTTTTATGTAATAAAAATAAATAATATATAACAGTTATATTACTACGTTGAAAGTTTAAATGTTCAATTTCATATTCATCTTCTAAAAGTTGCTTTTCCAAAACTACCAAAGATGAAATATTGTAAAATAATGGAAACATACGATGTGCTCCTTGTTGTTTATTTCTTAAAGAAAAATTTTCGCCAGTCACATCTTAATTCTGTAAAATTATTACATTATTAACATAACAAATTATCAAGTGTATGTTATGGATCTTATTCTAGAAATGTTTTCGGGCACTATCTCTATTAAAAAACATAATAAAAAAATTAATTTGAAGAAATGAAATGTCTTAACTTTAAAAAACGACAAAATTATTTAAGTGAAGTATTATAAAAAAATCTTACGCTAATATCTGGTTCCAAAGATTGTGAGAAGTATTAACCATCAGTTTTTTATTTCCACTTTACAGTCACAATGCCAGGGATTATTTTGGAATTTAAATTTTGTTTTTTCTTCAATCATTAATTGTAGGTCTCTAATCAATGTTTTAATAGCATCATCTTGAATGTCTAAGTAACGAAGCTCAGACAATAAGTGAGGCTTCGGCAGCCACATTGTTAACTCTTTCAATTTCGTAGAATTTCTCATTGACAATGAATTTAATTTTGGACACTTTTCAAAATCATTAAGATTTACTGAAGAAAGATTTTGCATATTATTAATTCTTAGTACTTGTAACCGGGGTAATTTAAGCGATTCAAATCTGTATATGTTTGTTTGAGACAAATCTAGTATTTCTAAATTCATGGGTAGTACAGGAATTATTTCTATGGGATTTAAAGATAAATCTAGAAATACTAGTTTTAATAAATTTTTAAACATTTCTGCATGAAAAAAGGATACAGATATATTTTTTAATTCTAAATGTTTTAAAGTAGTCAAATTTTCAAATACAAATTCTTCCATATTGTCGCCTATAGGGTTGTGTGATAGATATAACTTTTCCAATACCTGCAAAAAAATTATGAATTAATAATAAATTATATCAAATTAATGAAGTAAACGATCACTCGGAATCAAGGCAATAAAAATAAAAAGAATTCAGTCTTTCTTTACGTTTCAACAGTTAAAACGTAAAGAAAGACTGAATTCTTTTTATTTTTATTGCCTTGATTCGGAGTGATCGTTTACATCATTGTTTTAATATTTTGTCAACCGAGTGATAAAATCATTATTTATATAATAATAAATTATATTAGTAGGGTATTACACAGAAAAAACCTAGTCTCATTTTTGTTGCAAATCAAAATGAGCCTTAAGTTTAGTTTTTTCTGTGTATTTTTGAACTGCCCAGATCTAAGTTGGAGCAAACTGGACTGAAAAAGTCAAAATTGTTTTGTTCTTCTTATATTATATCAGGTAAATCATTACTAAATCTATTGAACAAGTAAGTAAAATAAATTAATTTTTATACCTCCAAATCTGCAAACATCGTATCGTTTAATCCATTTAATAAATTCCAAGAAACGTCCAGCGTCTCTAATTTACTAACTTTATGATTCAAGGTACGTTCATCTATTTGTTCAAGCTGGTTGTGACTGACATTTAAGAATTTTAGAATATATGTTTCATCTTTGCAAAGAAAATAAAGCTTATTCAAAGAATTTCGTGAAAGGTCTAAAACTTCTAAGTGATTTAATTGTGTTGCACAGTCTAAAAAGCTGTTTAAAGCATTTCCACTGAGATTTAATTCCTTTGAATTCCACACCATCATT